GGAACAAGAACAAGAACAAGAATAAGAAAAAGAACTAAAGATCTAGTGGGCTGAAGAGAAAATGGCAGGAAAGCAAATAAACATATGAATACCAAAATTTGGGGGAGCTCCAAATAAACCAAGTGAGAGATTTGGTACTATGGCAAGAACTGGATTAAATGAATAAATTATAAGACATACAAAATTATCAAAGATTTAGCTTTTCAGTCATCGTTTTTGTTTACTGTCCTAGTTTCGTTTCTGTTGCTGTGATGAAATACCCTGACAACCTACCCTAGGAGGGAAGGTTTATTTTAGTTCAGAGCTCCAGGTTATACTCTATCATTGTGGGGAAGTCAAAACAGAAGTTTGGAGCAACCACAGTCAAGACAGAGAAATGAATGCATGCATGTCTCCTGCTCAGCCCTCTTTCTCCACTCATATACAGTTTAGAACCCAAATCCATGGAATCATGATATCCATTTTAGGCTGGGTCTTCTCCCATCAATGAATGTAATCAAGACAATCTCCAACAGATATGATCACAGGCCAACCTGATCTATACAATCCCTCATTGAGATGTCTTCCCAGGCCATTTTAGATTGTGTCAAGTTGAAAATTAAAATTAACTATTATATTTTTTAAAGAGAACATCGAAAATTTATATTTTTCATACTCTAATTTGTGAGTTCTTAATAAAACCTCATCTGTTTCCATCATGCCTTCCAATAAACTAAGTATTCTGCTTCTTCTCCGCATGTACTCTCTGCCCTATAGTCTATGCAGACTATACAGTGTCAAATGTACACAAATGTTACTCTAGCCCAAAGGAGTAATTTATCATGTATGGAGCAGTATTTTATCATTTATGCATAGAGCAATGACTAGTACATTCTTACAATACCTTCTTTTCGAGAAGAATATTCTAGCTCACTGAGTTATGATGTAGTAGTAATAAAGATTTAAAATAATCCAGGAATAAGGAAATACATTTATATATAATTATGTGTTTAAATTATCAAACAACTGTTTTACCTTTGGCAATAACTTTACAAGATTTCAATACAACCAACAAGAAAAATAAAGTAGGTAAATGGGAATACTGAATATATATCTCCAGCTTTTCTGTTATGTGAGTACTTGTTTTGAACAAGCAGAAATGTTACTATGAAAGTCCCTTCTGATGATTGAACTGACATTTTTATAGCTACTGACGATTAAAATAAAGTATCAGAAAGAGAGTAATTAAGGTGGGTGTGGAGGTGCTCACATTTAATTCCAGCACTCGGGAGGCAGAAGCAGGCAGAAGTCTATCAGAGTAAGGCCAGCCTGGTCTACACATCAAGTTCCAGGCCAGCTGGGGCTACAGGGAGACTCTGACTCAAAAAGATCAGAGAGAGAGACATAAGACTAGAATACAGTGATTCAAATGGCAGCATATTTTCTGAAGATTTAATTTTTAAAAAAGTCTAACAATACCAACCTACTATCCTGATAAATGAAAGGCAAGTACATAGATGGAGACAAATCATTGTCTTTTTTAATGGGGGTTACTAAGCCTGTCATTCAGCAGTTTCCCTGTTTAGTTTCCGTGTCCTTCTCACGTTTGGTTTTACACCTCTTGGAGGGGTTTCCACTAAGAATCTGGCACTTTATAGTTTGCTCAGTTACCGTAAAAATTCATGCGATGCAGCGTAAGCTCCAGCTGCAGTTCATTGTGAATGTTAGTTAACTCCTGAGTCCTACAGCCCCGGCCACACCGCTACTTCCACGTAGTCTCAGCGTTTTACTCTGTTTTTCTGCACCAAGGACACTTCCAAGTTTCAGAGGGACGCGGAATGTGCACTGCGCATGCGTCTCTTTCTGAGCCAGTTCCCTATACCTCGAGTGCGCCTGTCCGCAAGGGACGTCATCACGGCAGCCAGCCGTGACGTCAGGAGGCGTGCCGGACTGAAGTTCGCTGGGCTTTGGCGGGAGGCCTTGGCCCTTCGCGCTCATGGTACGCTGCGGTATCGCGCTGTTGAGAAAGGTCCGTGCGGGGTTCCCCTCCACAGCCGCCCTCCTGGCTTGTCTCTCCTAGCCGGCTCCGCTGGGAGAGCGTGTCCACGTGACATGGCCCGACGTGTGGCGTCAGCTGTTTGGATTCCTAAATAATCCATAAAGGGTGTAATGCGCACGTGGGGCAGAAAAGCAGGGTACTTGCCTGCCCGTTAAACACAGTGTTAGGTATACGTGGAGTGAAGGGGCTTTGGTTTTCAGTTTCTGTTCTGGCTCCCATTTTTAAAAGTAGTAGCTCTTTTGATAGATTTCACTTTCCTTGCACTGCTTTTAAGAACTTTCTGAATTTTTTTAATCAGGAAAAAAAAATTAAAAAAAAAAAAAAAAAAACATTTCGGACGTGGGGGTAACACGTCTGTATTCCCAGCACTCAGTAGACAGAGATAGGCAGATTTCTGTGAGTTCCAGGTCAGACAGGACTACAAGGCGAGCGAGACCCTGTCTCAAAAGTAAAAGTAAATCAGTCAATCGTGCTAACTAGTAACAGTTTATGAAAACTGACAGGCATCGTATTTAAGCCGTTATAGACAGGACTACAAGGCGAGCGAGACCCTGTCTCGAAAGTAAAAGTAAATCAGTCAATCGTGCTAACTAGTAACAGTTTATGAAAACTGACAGGCATCGTATTTAAGCTGTTATCTCGTGATTAACCGTTGTGAGGTAGTCCTTATAAATGAAATGCCTAAGTCTTGTGAATCTAGAAGACAAAGACAAAGTCCTACGTTGAACCCACCTTTAAAAGTCCTTACCTAGAGTCTATCAGAATGGTTAATGTCAGTGTTAAAAATCTTCAGATATTTTCAATACTTAGAACTATTCCAAATTATTCAAAACGTGAATAATAACTTAAGGAATTACTCTGTAAAGGTATTTTTGTTAACCTGAGAGAATAATACAAAAGATCGTTATAAGAAGTGAGTGATTTAGTGAGGGAAACTAATACTAAATGCAGTATAAGATTTCAGAGGGTATAATCCAATTTCTGAGAAAGCCAGCAAAGTCCGGTAAGACCTGGTGAGAGTAATTGTGAAATCTTCCTCCAGTGCTCTCTCAAATAATAAAGCCATGTTTTAGTTCCATTATTTAAGAGTACATTGAAAATTTGACACTGGGTTTATGATAGAAAAGAACAAATGACTAAGAGAAAAACACTGGGTAGAGTGGCACGGGAGGATGGGAAGGGTTCAACAAGGACAAAAAATACTGAGAGGATAGGGTAAGGGCTTTGTATAGGACGATGAATTTTATTATGAGCAGTAGAACCCAAAAGTCATGATGGTTTCTGAGTAGAGAAAGAACATAGACATTGGACCCACTTCAGGAAAAAGATGCTCTTGGCTAAGATGGTGGATGTATTCAGTGATGAGACATTGAAAGACCATTTAGGAGCTAATGTAGTGGTCAAGGTTCTAGGACAACAGTTCTGGGAAGGAGTTGGGCTTCTGGGAAAGCAGTAGTTGTAGTTGGAAGACATCCATTTATGCAGTCCCAGTGAACTGATAAACTGATTATTTTTTTGAGGGAACAGGATTTCTTAACGTTTTGTTTTGGAAGGGCCATCCATTCAACTGATATCCTTTAACCAGTTACGTGTTTGAAGGGTTTCAAATGTAAATGAACTACAGACCCTGTATTCTTTTTTGATTATTTTTATTTTATGTATATGTGTATATTGCTTGCATATAGATAAGTGCACCGTGCCGTGCAGTGCCTGTGGAGGTCAGAAGAGGCTGTCGGATCCCCTGGGACTGGAGTTACGGACAGTTGTTAGCTGCCATGTGGGTGCTGGGATTTGAACCCGGGTCTTCTGCAAGAACAACCAGTGTTCTTAACTGCTGAGCCATCTCTCCAGCCCCAGACCCTGTATTTTTAAACTAAGCTAGGTGAGAGTTACTAGTACCTATGACATCATCCAGGAGAGAAAGTTTAGAATGAAAACAGAACAAAGGGTAGAGGCTGGAGCACAGGTGAAACAACTGACCTCTGAAAAAGAGGGTCCTTAGAGAGAGGAATGCGAAAAGGAAGTGATGTAAGAAAAGGCTATAAAATTGGCGTACAGAAAGCTATAACTGATTCTTTCTTAAAAGAAGTCTTAGTAGAATGAAACGAGAAACAGCTTTTAACTTGATAAACATACAGGGGCTGGAGAGGTTGCTCAGCATTTAAGAGCACTGACTGCTCTTGCAGAGGACCTGTGTTCGATTCCCAGCACCCACATGGCGGCTATGAACTGTCCTTGACTCCAGTTCCAGGGGAATCCGACGCCCTCTTCTGACCTCTGTTGGCATTGCATGACATGGGTGCACTCACATACATGCAGGCAATATACACATAATAAAATATATATTTTTTAATCTGGTATACAAATGTTCTCTCCTTTTTTAAGTATGGAAATTTCATTGATAACCTGAGACTCTTCACCAAAGGAGGAAGCGGTGGAATGGGTTATCCTCGTTTAGGTGGAGAAGGTGGAAAAGGTGGTGATGTCTGGGTTGTAGCCCATAAAAGAATGACCTTAAAACAACTTAAAGACAAATATCCTCAGAAACGGTTTGTGGCTGAAGGAGGAGCCAACAGTCGGTGAGTGCAAATTCAATGATTTTAACTTCCTAAAAATCAAACCCTTCTGGAAAAAAAAAGAAACAGAACTATACTGATGATTCAAAGTAAATTATTTCCTGTGCTTGCAACCAAGCAAAAGTCTAAAGTGAGTATTTTTGAGCCTTTGAACTTTATCCATTTATCCTCTTGGTGTCCTCTATGTACTTCCTCTTTGGAAATAGAAAATTATCTGAATCCCTAATTTTTCCTAAAATTACCTTGGGCAAACTTTAGGGGCATTTCCTCAAATTTCACTCATGCACCTCACTACCATGAAAAGTCATTTATAATTCTTCCACCCAGATAATAACTACTATTTCCTTTAATTGACTTTTCTAAGACTTTTCTGTGTTTATAAAAATGTTATTATTTGAACACAGATTGGGCTCCTGGCACCCACATGGCAACTAACAACTGTCCATAACTCCAGTTCCAAGGACTCTGTTGCCCTCTCCTAGCCTCAATGGACACGTACAAGGCGTGTTACATACATACAGGAAAACACTCAGACATATAAAGTCAGTTTTTAAAAAAATTTTAAAAATGTAAATTTAATTATTTGTGTATAAAATCTAGCATCAAGTAAAAAAAGAAATGAGCACACAATATTTTATAACTGTCTCTTTGTAGTTAATATTTTTTCAGTGTATGAAAATTATTCAGAATGTTGTATGGATTAGTATGAGAATTAACATTTTTATCATTTGCCTTTTAAGGCTATTTGTTGACTTTTGCCACCCCCCCTTTTTTTTTTACTGTCCTAGCCATAATATATATTAATAATATCCTGTGTGGATACTTTTTTGTTGTTGTTGTTCAAATTTTTTTTGACAAGTTCCTACAAGTGGGCTTACTAAATTTGATTATACCAACTTATTCTCAAATAAGTAGTTTGAAAGTAGCCAATTACTTTCTTATAATTTAAGTGCTGCCAGGTAGAATCAGTTTTTTTAAAAGATTCATTATTCATTGGATTTGGGGTTTGTTTTTTTCTTTTTTTAGCTTATTTGTATTTTAGCAATCATTTCAGATGTGCAATATATTAGTTCATTTTGCGTTCAAATGACTCTTAGTGGTCAATTTGGTAACTAAAATCATTTCCATTTTTGTAGGGCACAGTAATATAAAATACAATAAATAATTTCCCCTTAATATTTGACCTTTTAACATCTGTATTACTAAGAAGAGTTGATTATAGTCTGGGTAAATCATTGTATGTGTTTAAAATATAAGCCATTTAATTTAGCAGGTTTTCTTTATTTTAATTTAATTTTCTTCTTCTTCTTTTTTTTTTTTATAGAGTAAATGCACTAAAGGGCTCCAAAGGAAAAGACTGTGAAATCCCTGCGCCTGTGGGTATTTCAGTAACCGATGAAAATGGTAAAATTATAGGTGAGTGTACTGTAGCTTCTAAGCTTGTGGAAAATGAGCACATTTTCCAAAACTGATTCAGAGTACTGGGGAATAGCTTGTTAACTTTCAGAAGAAATTTTTCTTCAATTTAAAAATTACATTTATTATTTATTTATTGTGTGTTTGTGTGTGCATGTGTGCCCATCTGCCTGTGGAGGTCAGAGGACAATTTCCAGGAGTCAGTTCTCTCTTTTCACCATGTGACTTCTAGGGAATAAAATCAGGTCCTCAGTCTGGATAGCAAATCTTTGCATACTGGCCCAAGAAGAAATTATTGTAATATTTATAATTTTAAGTTTTTAAAAAATATTTTATTTTATGTGTATGAGTGTATTGCCTGCATGTATATGAGTGCAATTCCCTCAGAAGTCAGAAGAGAGAGGGCATTGGGTCCCCCGGAGCTGGAGTTACAGATGGTTGTTAGCTACCATGTGGGTGCTGGGAACCAAACCCAGGTCCTCTGAGAGCAGCCAGTGCCCTTTACCACTGAACTATCTCTCCAGCCTTTTTTTTTTTTTTCTTTTTTTTTTTCAAAGACAGAGTCTCCCTGTAACCACAGCTGGCCTGGAACTCACTATGTAGACCAGGCTAGTCTCAATGTAACAGAGATCTGCCTGCTTCTGCCTCTGGAGTGCTGGGATTAAAGCTGTGTCTCACCACACCTGGCTTAAATAGCATTTTTAAAAATTTACCCCAAATTTGCCACTAGATTTAAGGTCACTTTAAAGAGCTAAGAATATTCCTTGGTTTTAAAACATAATGAGCTTCCTTTTGGGGTCAGCATTTGCCTGTGCATGATAGGTAACACTTTACCTAGAGCTATCAGCCCTAGAGGGTTGCATTTAAGAGTTTTTTAGCTCTTTAGATTTTTAAACTGGAATTTCTTGGCATGTATTTCTGTTTTGTTTTTGTTTTTGTTTTGTTTTGACAGTGTTTCCCTAGTCCCAACCCACCTGGAAGTCACTATGTCAACCAGGCTGGTGTCAACCAGGCTGCCTCTGTCTCTCAAGGGCTGGAATTAAAGGCATGTGCCACCACACCCAGTGTTGGCATGTATTTCTGAAAGAAAAATACCATATTATTAATTTCATTTGTTAATGTTTGTCTTTCTCTCAAAGGAGAACTCAATAAAGAGGAAGACAGAATTTTGGTAGCTGAAGGTGGCCTTGGTGGTAAATTACATACAAATTTCTTACCTTTGAAAGGTCAAAAACGAGTAATACGTCTTGACCTAAAAGTTATAGCTGATGTAGGCCTTGTAGGGTAAGTACCATTTTTAGTCTTACAATACTTTTAAGCATACAGCTCATGACTAGAAAGTAAATGTAAATAATAATTTTTGGCAATAAATATTTATAGTTTATGGAATTTTTATGTTAAGTGTACTTTCTGCTAAATGCATAGTTGACTCTTGAAAATGCAACAGTTGGGGTACCAAGCCTGTGACTATACCCCCTGCATTGAGAAGTCTGTGTAGATCCATCTTCCCTCCCTCCCTTCTCCCCTCCCTCTCTTAAGAGGGTCTTATGTGCTCAGGCTAGTTTGGAAATCACCATATAGCCCTGACTGCCCTCAAACTCTTAATCCTCCTGCTTTAGCCTCCTAGGTGCTGAGATTGTAGGCATGTGCTATTGTCTTAGTTGTGTTTCCTGTTAACTATGGTGAAATACCTTGGCAAAAGCAACTCGGTGGGAATGGGTTTATTTTTGCTTACAATTCTGAGTTACAGTCCATCATAGTGGGCAGTTACAATAGCAAGAGTTTGAGAGAAGTGATTGCATTATAGCCACAGTCAGAAGAAGATAGCAGTAGATGCATACATGCTTGTGTTCAGCTGAACTTCCATTTTATACAGTCTACAACCCAAACCCAGGAAATGGTGCTACACACATTCAGGCTAGGTCTTCATGCAGAAACCAACATAATCAAAACAGTCCCCCACAGGCATGCCACAAGCCATCCTAATCTAGACAGTTCCTCATTGATGATGATTCAAAGATGATTCTAGATTGTGTTGAGGTGACAATTAAAACTGACCATTACAGCCACCATGCCTTGTTCTGCATATAACTAACTTTTGATTTCTCCAAAACTTAACCACTAATAGCCTGATTGTTGACCAGAAACCTTATGGATAACATAAATAGGCAACATATATTTTGCATATTGTATATATTAGATGTGGTTAAAATGTAAATATATAAAAATAAATATATGTGTATGTAATGGAGCTAGAGAGATGGCTTAGTGGTTAAGGCCACTTGCTGCCCCTGCAGAGAACCCAGCACCCACATGGCAGTTCACAACTATCTCAATCTCCAATCCAGAGAATCCACCACCCTCTAATGGCCTCTGCACACACGATTATTTGTTTTTATTTTGTGTATATGAGTGTTTTGCCCACATTTGTGTAAATGCACCCATGTTGTGCAATGCCTGCAGAGGTCAGAAGAGGGTGTCAGATCCCCTGGAACTGGAGTCACTGGCGGTTGTTAGCTGCCATGTGGGAGCTGGGATATAAACCCAGGTCTTCTCCAAGAACAGCCAGTACTCTTAACCACTGAGCCATCTCTCCAGCCCCAAAATAAAAATAAAAATTTAAAAACATAAAAACTGTGAGAGATTACTTTTTTCTGTGGTACATAATTTCCAGCGAAGGGAACTGCTTGTATGGAGATGATTATTGGCATCATTCTTTTTTTTTCATATTTAGTTTATTCCTATTTATGAGGTGAAATATAGAACAAAAATATTAAAAATATCTATACTACTGCAGCTTTTAAAATGTTGCTCTTCCCCTGATATTATAATCTCACCTTTTTAAAATAATGTGATAATTTATGTTATCTGATAAATATTTTTCATTGAACTCTTTCCCTGTACTTACATGAATTTTACTCTTTAAGTCAAAGATAAGGATCTTTCAAATTTGTTTATTCAATATGACTGCACTATCATTTTCTCTGTTGCATTCCATGCAAATTTTAGAATCAGTTTGCTAATTTCTCAGAACTAAACAAAAAAATTTCTTCTGTAATTTTAGGCGAAATTGAATTTACTGGTTCATTTAAAATAAACTGTCTTTACAAGATTGAGTCTTTTTAAATTCATAGCAACTAAAAGTCTAAATTAATAGCTCTCTAGTTTTTTATTTGAAGGTAGTATGTGTGTGTTGGGGGTAATTACATGACATCTTAAGTGGATGTTTTTACCACAGTTGAGTTTACTATATTATTACCAGGAGGTAGCTATAAAAGTACTAGAGTAGCACAGTATGTACAGTAGTACAATTTAATTTTATATGGATAAGTTTATTTTAAACCTTTTATTTATTATGTGTACAACTGTATTGCCTGCATGTATGTGAGTGCACCCATGTCCTGCAATGCCACGGAGGTCAGAAGAGGGCTTCCGATTCCCCTAGAACTGGAGTTAAGGACAGTTTGTAGCCGCCATGTGGGTGCTGGGAATCGAACCTGGGTCCTCTGCAAGAGCAGTCAGTGCTCTTAACCGCTGAGCCATCTCTCCAGCCCCATATATGGATAAGTTTTAATACCGCATTATGATGTTTGTTTAGATTCCTTTTTTAGTAGTTTATTATTTTTATTTTATGTGTATGAGTATATTGCCTGCACCTGTGGAGGTGAGAAGAGGGTGTTAGATCTCCTAGAACTGAAGTTGTTAGCCATGTGGATGCTGGGAATTGAACCCAAGTCCTCTGCAAGAGCAGCCAGTGCTCTTAACCCCTGAGCCAGCTCTCCAGCCCCATTGTTTAGATTCCTCTTGATCTTGAATGGCATCATGTATGGTCTGTATGATGGTTAACTTGTCAACTTGATTAGATTGAGAGGTGCCTAAGTGATTAGTAACTTACACCTCTGGATACATCAGTGATAATGAAGGGATAAGGGCTATAAATTGGCAGTACTGTCTCATATTTTGGAGGTACCAATAAAATACATGGGAAAAAGGGAGAAAGCTCACTAGTAAAATGCCCACCCTCTTCCTATAGAAAAATATTTGATTTTTCAGAAGTAGCTTTGAAGGCCAGCCTGGTCTACATAGTGAGTTCCATGCCAGCTGGGGCTACAAGAAGACCCTGTCCCAAAAAAACAAACAAAGCAAAACAACAAAACAGAAATGACTTTGAAATTATAGTCAGTATTAAAACATCAAGAGTCTTTGAAGAATATTTGTGTGTCTAATGAGTTTAAATTAGGTAACTGTTCCTGAAGATACTGCTGTGAATACCAGTATAAGCAGATCCATGTAGCTGTTCTTGACAAGGAACTGATGCTTAAAAGAAAGTCACATAAGTAATATACTGCATTGCTGCTGTCAGATTCTGTTTCCTATTCTCACAGAGGCTATGTTTTTACTCCTAGAATTGTACTTTGACACATTAAAAAAAACCTCACCTGTTTTTCAACCATTACTATCCTCCTGCATACACTTTAGTCTCCTTGGAAACAACTGCTTGCATTTTCTGAGCTTGATCATATTATAATAATATGAGAACGTTGGAATTAAATATTCAAGGACAAAAATGGTTGCAAGTTGCTTTTCAAATGGGGGCTGGAGAGATGGCTGAGCAGTTAAGAGCACTGACTACTCTTGCAAAGGACCCTGATTCGATTCCCAGCACCCACATGACAGCTAACAACTGTCCGTAGCTCCAGTTCCAGGGGATCCAACACCCTCTTCTGACCTCTATGGGCATTGCACTACACAGATGTACTCACACATATGCAGGCAAAATATTCATACACATAAAATAAAAATAACAAATAAAATACTTTTCTTTGTCTTTTTTGAGATAGGGTCCCCCTGTAGCCTCAGCTGACCTGGAACTCACTGTGTAGACCAGACTGGCCTTGAACTCACAGAGATCTGCCTGCCTCATCCTCCCAAGTGCTGAGATTAAAGGCAAAATAAAATACTTTTTTAAACAGGTGTAAGAACTTTGGTAACATAGGAAGAGAAACAAAGCATTAAGGAATCTTACAGAGTTCACTACAGAAAGACCATTCATAAGGAAAATTGTTAAAAGAGCTTGTAGACTCACTTTTTATAGAATTGCAAAGTAGTAGTTGCAGAATATTCTGCTATTATTTCAAATGAAAGTTTGCCAGAGTTTCTGAAAGTAGAGTTTCCTCAGTTAGAATGGACCTCTGAAAGTAAGGATCACACATTTCATGCTGTATTTCTAGTGTCTCATTTACTACTTTATACAAAGTCAGTATTCATATCTGTTAGGTAAATTTAATGAAAATATACAATTGTAGTTTAAGAGAGAATTTTTAAAGTGATCCGTATTCTTAATACTTTAAAAATAAACAGTAGGCCTTTCTTGAAAGAAATCTGCAATAAGGTCAAAAGCCTTTAAAATAAGCATGTATTTTAACCCAACGTCTACTCTTGTAGAAATTTATCCCGAGAAAGAAATTGCAGACTGTACAAAGGTTTAAGATGGTCCTCATGCTGCATAAAGCATTTAGAAAAAAATGAGATAGAGCCATGCACTTACTTGCAAAAAGAAAATTCTTTTTTAATTTGCAATTAATCCCATGACTGAAATATCAATATCTGTTAACAGTACATGTCTCTTCAGTTGTATACGTATTTTTAATTATATTTATTCCTTTGTGTGTATTATGTGTTTGGGTACACATGTGCCACAGTATGCATGTAGAGATCAGAGGACAACCTGTGGCCCGTGGGAATCAGTTCTCTCTTACTACCGTTTGGGTCCAGGAGATCAAATTCAGACGGTCAGTCTGGTTAGCAGTGCCCTTACCCACTGAGCCATCTCACTAGCTCTTACATATTTTTGCAAGGTTACTTAATGATTGCAGGCAATTGGCAGCAATATAAATATTTATCAGAAAATTGGTCAAATTGCATATTAACCACTGAAATATTATTCAGCTTAATGTTATTCAGTTTAAAGGTACATCAGTTGGGGCTGGAGAGATGGCTCAGCAATTAAGAACACTGGCTGTTCTTGCAGAAGACCCCGGTTTGAATCCCAGCACCCACATGGCAGCTAACAACTGTCCATAATTCCAGGTCCAGGGGCTCCGACAGCCTCTTCTGTCCTCCATGGGCATTGCACAACATGGATGCACTTACCTACATGTAGGCAATATACTCATACACATAAAATAAAAATAATAAATACTTGTAAAAAATAAAAGTACATCAGTCAACTATGTAGTAGTCTTTAGAAAAATCAAGACAGACACACACACACACAATATCCAGGGCAAAACAGCTTGTTAAATGATACCATGTAGAAAAATCCATACTGTAGATAAGAAATTCTATAGGACAAATAACTCCATTAAAAAAATACATTGCAAAGGGAAACAAGAAACACTGGCAGTATATTAGTACTTACCGAAGCTAGATGATGACTCACCAGATGTGTTACTCCTCTGCTTTTGTGTATGTGTGAAAATGCTCCTAATCTAAAACACAGTGAGTAATGTTTTGTCAGTGTTTGGGTAAAACTAGTGAATTGCAAGTTTTGGCTTTTAATTTTATCTTTTGTATGAGTTGAATAACAGGTACTTTACTTGCTTAATTCTGAAATATCTTCAGTAACTAGGATGAACTTATATTTACCTTTTTCATAAATATATTTTGTTCTCAAGTTTTCCAAGATTATTTTAGATTCCTTTTCTTTGGAGAGAGCAAGTCAGGATTAATCCCACATCCTCTTGCATGCGGAGTGCCCATTCTACCACTGAGCTCCACTCCTATATTCTACTTTTAATTCCAGAAATATTCAAGAAACCTACTTCCTGAATTATTGAGAATTCAGAAATATACAAATATTCATAATATTGATACTTGGTGTAATGTATAACTGCATTTACTCATTTCAGATTCCCAAATGCTGGAAAATCCTCTTTACTAAGTCGGGTTTCTCATGCAAAACCTGTGATTGCAGATTATGCTTGTAAGTGCAATTCGATTGTGTGTTTTAGTGTATTCAGGTTAGCTTTAGTTTGACAACTTTGACAGCTAGAATGTAATTATTTCTTCATAACCTGAAACCTTCACACCCTGCAGTGAAGTCTCTTGTGCTTATTAGGAACAACATTGTTGCTGCACAGTCATTTATTTGTTGTATGTAGGATTTTATAAGCTATCACACTGTGATAAATACTAGGAAGACTGAAATGAATACTTTCATTAATTTAACAAAATATGTTTCTAGAAACTACATTTGGCTATGTTACAAAGTCTGGTAGACAAAACCAGCTTGTGTTATGATATTAATTGCACTTACAGATTAGTGGGAGAGGTGTGTGTGTGTGTGTGTGTGTGTGTGTGTGTGTGTGTGTGTATGTGTGTATGCATGTATATGGAAGGTGGGTGGGAGGTTTCTGTGAAAGAATGTAGATGACTTCTGTAGACCTCCTTGAAGAGACTGTGCTTTGGCTAAGATAATCAGTGCTTTGGACTAGTGTTAAAGGGTTAAGTCATGAAAACAGCCTGTACACAGCTTAGGAGTGGCCAGAAAGTGTGCTTTTCCAGAGAACAAGAAGTATAGGAAAGAGAGAAGTGATGCAAATCAAATCACATAGACTGTCTAGGCTGTATTTCATCTTATTAAATAACTAAAGAGTGTTTGGAAGTCTTTAAGTAAGGAATAAAATAGATGTACTTTGTACTCTCAACCTATGATAGAGAAATTAATTGGCATTAATTAGCAGAAATTATAAGGCATTAACAAATATGGGAAGACTAGTTAGTAGACTAGTGTGGTAGTTAGGTGAAGTTTAATTAAATATTTGGTTAAAGCGTTGAGTGAATATGATAGGATCTTTACCATGATTAAACTAAAATGCACAGAATGATATTACCCTGGAAAATAATACAGACCATTCAAAACTTGGACTTTGGTGAAGTAGAGTTAATTTTGAATTGCTGTTAATTAAGTGATCAGTGTTTGTTAGAATACACAGGACTCCTCAGAAGAAGAAAGGAGGGAAGACAAAAAGTCCTAGAAACGGGCTAGTGTTGGATCAGTAAGGCTTAAGAATAACTCAGTAAGAAAGGATTTGAAGAATTTCACTGCAGAACCAGTGGCCAGAACCTAGTTTCGGAAACCCCTAAGCATCCTTGAGTTGTTCTTTTCAGTATAGTAGAACTTCAAGGCCCTATGGATAATTAAGCTTGTGCCTAGGCAGATAATAAAAATCTATATTTCTTTTTAAAAATAAATTGTAAAAGGCAAAGATAATTGTAACTTCCATTCCAACAACAACAAAAAAAATTTTTTTTGGTCTCTTTGAGACAAGGTCACCCTATAGCCACAGCTGGCCTGGAACTCACTACATAGACCAGGCTGGCCTTGATCTCACAGAGATATCTTCCTGCCTTTGCCTCCTGAGTTCTGGGATTAAAGGCGTGAGCCACCACGCCTTGCTTCAACAATTTTTTTTTTTTAAATTGAATTAAACTATTCATAAAATAAATATTCTCTCTATGCATAATGACATTTTTGAGAGAACTAGCCTTTTATTTTTCTCCTCAATTTACTGTTGTTTTTTCTTTCAGTTACAACATTAAAACCTGAACTTGGGAAGATTATGTACAATGATTTCAAAAAGGTACAATGACTTTTAAAGTAAAACCCATGATTAGGTGCAAAAGCACTTTGTTTTGGTAGTAGGACTTTTTAATATTTACATGTTTCTGTAGTCTTAGCAAAAAGCCAAGATTGTTTTATGATAGGTAAAACTGTGGTCAAATAAATTCTGCTCAGCACTATCAAACAAGACTTAATTTCTCGTGTTTCTAAATGTTGTGTTCAGTTTACCCCTATAGAATTATGTCTTCCTTGTGCTCTCGTTAATCTCTGTTTCTTCTCAGCACAAGTCCGTGTTTTAGTACCACATGAGTTCCTGGTCTCCATTTCCTCAAAGTACTCTCTAGTTCATGGAAATGATTTCATTCCAACATCCTGTTTGGGGGGGGGAAGTTTTATTGGGGTTTTGATCTCATCTAGTAATTAAAATTTATATTCCTTCTTAAGGAAGAACTATAGATTTATGTCCACAGAGAAGCTTGCACATGGATGTTTATAGCAGCTTTGTAATTACCAAAACTTGCAAACAACCAAGATACATCTCATTATGTGAATGGATAGGTTTGTTACATCTAAAAAGTAGAATGTTTACTTCTAAAAATGGATGAATTATTAAGCCCTGAGAAGATACAAATGACCTTGAGTTCATATTACTAAGTGGAAGAAGTGAAAAGGCAATGTAAGATTTGGTATTCTAGCAAAAGCAAAACTATGGAGAAAGCAAAAAGTCAGCTTGCCAGGATGAAGGAGAGGGAGGACTGAATAGACAGCACAGAGAAATGTTAGGATAGGGAAACTATTCTAGATGATACTATTAGTAGTAATGCATTATACATCTGTTACAACCCACAAAATACACAAGACCAAGAATGAACCCTTTGGAAAACATGTCTTTAAATGATAACAATGTGCCAGGGTATGTTCATGATATGCTCTGAAACAAGTCAAAAGACTTAAATAATGACATAACAGTAAACAATAAAAGTCCAACTATTATAGAATATTAAACACTAAATAAAGTTACACTACATAGCATAATATTGAATAATAGTGACCAGTATTTAGAAGAAAAGAGAATATTACTTATACCTAATTTTTAGAGAAATCAATAGAGAACTTCTGAAAGAAATTTCAGGATGTGAGACAGACCTCTGTAGTATATGTGCACTTCCTTGTCTTATAGCCACAGCTTCCTTTCAGACTCTGGATTCCTTATCTACACTGAGCAGTGGATGAACCACACTGCTTCCTATTCCTTACTGCATCTCGGAATCACCTGGGAGGGCTACAATTAGCAATAACAAATGGTGCACAGTCCCCAGAGATTTAAAATTAACTTTCTTAGGGATTGAGCCTGGCTGTTGTATGTTCTTTATAGGACTTCCCTCAGTAATTGTGATGATACATGGTGAGGTTTGAAAAGCAGGACTATAAAGTGATTGGTAATCATTGTTACCACCTGCAGGAGGAGTTAAGCTGTTGCATTGTTTCACCTTGTAAAAATAGCAATTCTTTTGACTTTGTATTAACAGAAAGGAACCGCTTTGCCATTTGCAATTGGAATTTAAAACTTCAAACTATAGAACTCTAGTTATTATTAAATGTGAATGTTAATGAATTCTGATTATAAAAGTTGTAGTTCCATAAAAATTCATAATTATAGTGTAGCATAGAGTGACAGGCTTTCAAGGCCAATGAGATGGCTCAGTGGGTAGAGGTACTTGCATGTAGGCATGACAGTTCAATCCTAGATCCCACGGGTTGCAGGAGACAGTTTCTTCTGACCTATAGAAGCACACCATAGTTTGCACGTACCTTCAGTCACTCACACATATGCACAGACACAATAAATAGATAAATAAATAAATAAATTTAATTGGGTTACCTGTGAAAAGAAAAAGAATTACAGACTTACATGATTAGTAACTGTTAAAGTAATAAATGTTAAATGAATACTCAATATCTACAGATTGGTAGATTAATGAGTTTAAATGAAACTCAAATATCTGGTAACAAAAGATTTTCATTTTTAACACATTCATCAGAGGAGGATAAATTAGGGATTATTTGTATATGAAATTTGAGAATTTTGGAATAAATTGAACTGTGATTTTCATATATTTTTCTTTCTCATCTAATTATTAACTGTGTATTAGATTTCAGTAGCCGACCTCCCGGGTCTGATAGAAGGAGCACATTTGAACAAAGGAATGGGCCACAAATTCCTCAAGCATTTAGAAAGAACCAGGCAACTGCTTTTTGTTGTAAGTTCTATGCACACTAGTGGGATGTTCATATGAATTAACTTAGTTTTCCTAAAAATATTTTATAAGTAATATTAAATGTGCCATAAGACCACATTTTCAAACTGATGGAATGTGGTCCCATAAGATTTTATAGCCTAGTGACATCATAACCATCTTAGATGACTAATTATACTCTGAATTCACACAATGATAAAAATCACTGGATGTGTATTTCAGAATGTATCCCTAGTGTTAAGGAATTTATGACTGTATTGGTAATTTTAGCCCAGTAAGTCTCTTTTGATAAAGCACATAGACAATCTCTGCTTGTAATATGAGGGGCGGAATGCTCTTCCTAGTATCTACATTTGACCATATAAGGTTTTGGTATTCTATTATATAGTAGCTCTTTCATTCCTACTCAATGATACTTGAGTTATATATAAGATTCTCAATTTGCCTTTAATCCTAGCACTCAGGAGGCAGAGGCAGGTGGATCTCTGTGAGTTCAAGGCCAGCCTGGTCTATGTAGAGAATCCAGACCAACTGGGGCTACAGGGAGACCCTGTCTCAAATAGACCCCCCCCCAAAAAAAAGATTATCTATATTGGTATAAATCTATATTGGTCTTATCTATACTAGTTTTTCATTAATGGCTCATTTTATAAACTATAATGTTTATAGTTGCCATGACACCTCAATACCTGTTCTTATGTTGAATTACTAAATTACAGTGAAATATACATTGAGAAATTATTCTTAGCTTGCAAGAGCAAAACATTTCAAAGCATAGAACTACATAACCATTTTATGTTGTGGGCTATCCTGTTTTTTTTAGGTTGACATTTCTGGATTTCAGCTTTCTTCCAAAACTCAGTACAGAACTGCCTTTGAAACCATAATACTTCTTACAAAAGTAAGTTTTCTGTTTTACTGTGGTCTGAAGCTAGTCTAATATGTAAGGATATAAGAGTAATTAGAGTTAGTACACACCCTGCCTTTTAAGAGATTTTGTATCAGTTAAAGACTCGGCCTTGCTATTTCCATGTCTTTAGTATGTACCCACTCTTCAGCTATTGCAATGGACGAAGCCCTCTTGTGCTTCCACATCCCCTATTTCATCTTGATTTGGCTCTGATGATTCTTCTTGAAACATTCTCCATCCTTAATTTCATGAACCTTATCTTTCCCTCTTTCATTCTTTTTTGTTCAAACCAGAGTCTCATGAATGCCTGGTAAGCCTTCTACCACTCTCATTGCTTCCAATTGCTATACTCATCCATCTGCCAGTTCTGTATCAGATCTTTTGTTTGTGCTTTAGACTAGGTACTTGTTGGACATCTTTCAGTATCACATTCACCATTCAGATGTTATGCATAAGCTAACCTTTTTTTGTTTTAATTCTTTTTTAATATTTTATTATTTTTATTTTATGGTGTGAGTGTATTGCCTGCATGTATACAGGTGTACCCATGTCATGCAATAACTGTGGAGGCCAGAGGAGGGCATCGGATCCCCTAGAACCAGAGTTATAGATGGTTGTTAGCTACCATGTGGGTGCTAGAAACCAAACCCAGGTCCTCTGCAAGAGCAGCCAGTGCTCTTAGCCATTGAGCCATCTCTCTAGCCCCTGTTTTAATTCTTTAGCCACCTCCAGAACTTTATTACATATGTAAACCAGAAGCTTGAGTGGTCTCAATTCTTTTTCCTTACCACCTACATGAAGCTCTGTCAGTTTTGCATCTTAAATCTCTCTGAAAGCCATCCACATGCCTCAGCCACACGCTATAGTCTTGGCTCCTTTCTTACTAGAATATTTTTCTGGTATTCCTGCTTCCACTCTTGCTTCTCTCTGTTTATTTGAAAGTTAGTGTTCTTCATGAAAGAACCAAGCTCAGGTTTGTTCCCTGCTTAGAACACTGTTTCTCCCTGTTGCTGTTAGGTTAAAGTCTAGCCCAGCTGCTGTCTAAGGGGGTCTGGCAATTTGGGCCCCTCCCAGCTCTTCTTCCAACCCCCTTTCCTTAGGTGCTGCATTCCAGCTATATAATTTCTCTGTAATTATGGTACAATGTTACTTACCTCTAGTTCCTATTTTGTTTGCTAAGTTTTATCTGTAATGAATAACGCTGCTATGAGAAGTTGTGAATAGGTTATTGTGAAGACATGCTTTCATTCATTCCTCCTGGATATATACCTCAGAGAAAACTTGGTGGATCATATGCTAGCTCTGTATTTAACATTTTGAGGAACTGTCAAACTCTATTCAAATTGCCTATACAATTATGCCATTATGCAGTCCAACCAGCAATATGCAAGAGTTCTAGATTCTCCATCAGTTTCAGCATTTGTTATTGTCATTTTTATTTTAGCCATTCTAATACTTAGTTTGTTACAGTTTTGATTTTAATTTTTCTTATGATTAATGATGTTGAGAAGATTTTCACATGCTTATTATCCATCTGCCTTTGAAGAGATGTATATTAAAATCTTTGGCTATTAAAAAAAATTTTATGCTGGTGATCAAATCCATCGTCTTAAACATTAGTCAACATTCTTTTACTGAGTTTCAGCTCAATCATCAGCCTCCAAAATTTATTTTTTGACTAATACATAAAAACATAAAACTCCTGCATATTAATATGGGGTACCATGTAATATTTTGTCACATGTATGTATTGGGTAATGTTTAAATAAAGTTAAATATATTTCATCAGACATTTACTGTTTATAGTGAAAATATTCAAAATGTTTTCTTCTAAATTTTTAAACTATGCATTAAATTATTTTAATGAAGTTTTTAATTGAATTTTTGTGTATTTCATACAAAACATCTTAATCATCTTTATACCTCTCCCCCCCATCTGAACCCCCCCCCCCATAGTTAGCCCTGGCAGATTTCAAGCATTCTATCATATATAAGGCCTGTCAAGTCAAGTTAGTGTAGCCAGATGTCCCTCAGTGTGAATTCATCCACTGGGGCCTAGTCAGCCTATCTAAAGTCTTTCCCTTAAAGAAAATCAGCTGTCTCTCACCCAGCAGTAATCAGCTACCTATAGTTCTTTGGCTAATGTTGGGGGCTTACTGCCCATTTACCCAGTTCTATGTTGGGTCTTTGTCTGCTTGAGTTTACATGGGTCTTGTATGTGCTGGCACCATTGCTATAGGTTCATATGAACAAGGTCCCAGGACCCTGTAAGACTGTTTCCTTGTAGTCATGCACCTCCTGCCCTGGCTCTTACAATCTTCCCACCCCCTCTTCTACAATGGTTCTTGAGCCCTGGGTGGGTAGTTTAATACAGGAGTCCTATCCAGGGACCTACACTCTGCAGACTTATTCTCTATGCTTGTGGTTGTTTGTGGCCTTTTGTGTTCATTGCCCTCTGTTGCATGAGGGAGCTTTGTGAAGAGAATTGAGAGATACATTAGTATTCTCCCTACATCCTGTTCTATGTTCTGTGAGCCTTAGGTATAGAGATTCCATTGTAGATGTGTCACTTAGGGTTGGGCATTTCACAGACACTTATTCTCTGTGTGTGACAGGTTGTGGAACTCTGTAATAGTCTCCGTCTGTTGCAAAAGAAGCTTATTTGATGAGTCATGGAGGGAACATACCTCAACATAATTAAAGCTGTATACAACAGACCAAAAGTCAACATCATTCTAAATGGAGAAAAACTGAAAGCATTTCCATTAAAATCAGGAACCAGACAGGGCTGTCCAATATCTCCAATTCTTTTCAATACAGTCCTCTTTCTAAAGCAATAAGGCAATTGAAAGAGATTAGAAAAGCAGAGATCAAGTTATCCCTATTTACAGATGATATTATACGTAAGAGATCCCCAAAATTCTACCAGAAAACTCCTAGAAATTACCAACACTTTCAGCAAAGTGGCAAGTTACAAAAGCAATCTATAAAAATCAGTAACCTTTCTATATACCAATAGCAAGCAGTCGGAGAAAGAGTACACAGAAAGACTCCTCTTCAGAATAGCCCTAAAAAAATCTAGGACTAAACATAACCAAAGACATTAAAGATCTCTACAATGAAAATTTTAAATCTTTCCATCAGGAGATGGAAAGACCTCTCTGTGCTCATGGATTGAAATAATTGCTATTGTGAAAATGACCATCCTACCAAAGGCAATCTATAGATGCAATGCAATCCTAATCAAAATACCCATGACATTCTTCACAGAATTAGGAAAAAAAAAATCCTAAAATTCATATGTAAGTACAAAAGACCCCGGATAGCCAAAGAATTCCTGAGCACAAAGAACAATGCTGGGCAGATTACCATACTAGATCTGTGCATTAAATTATTGTTTTTCATAGTCACTCTCCTATGCAGTAGCACATCAAAGCATCTTTCTACTGTCTGTAGCTTGTTCCCATTGATTGCCCCCCACCCCTCAACTCTCTACCACCATTCTACTCTCAATGTCTGTTTCATCTTTATTCATTCATCTCTATCAACTTTACATTGCACATATGAATAGAATCCTGGTATTTGGGTTTTTTTTGTTTTTTTTTTTTTTTTGTCTGACTTACTTCATTCAATGATTTCCAGTTCCAGCCATGTTGCTGTAAATAACAAAGTTTCATTGTTTTTTATGACTGAATAGTATTCTGTTATATATACTACATTTTCTTTACTCATCAGTAGATGGACAGATCATTTTCATTTCTTGGCTATTGTGAGTAGTGCTGCATGCAGTGAGTATGGCAGAACAGATATCTCTTCAAAATACTGATATCCTATAGATATGCCCAGTAGGGAATTGCTGGATCATATAGTAGTTCTGTTTTTAATTTTTTCAGAAATCATGGTATTATTCATAATGGCTGTACTAATTTCATTCCCCCCAATAGTGTGGTCTCTACCCTTGCTAGCACTCTTATTTTTGTCTTGGGGGAGGGGGGGTCACTAGAGGTCAGACTTGGGCCTTGCACATTCTAAGCATACACTGAGCTACATCACCCCAAAATATAAGATTTCAAAATGTAAAACTGTTAGAAAACAACAGCATAAGGGAAATGCTTGATCTGGTTCAATCAAGGTACTTTTGGGTATGACTGCACAGACGTGAAAGTAGGCAAAAGGGATTGCATTGAAATAGCTCTGCAAAGCAAAGCAAAGCAGGCAGTCACAGGGGAAGAGACAACCTGCAGAGTAGGATAAAATATTTGTATGCCATGTGTCTAATAAGTAGTTGTATTCAAAATATATTAGTGACTCAACCAACAGGGTGGCACACACTCCTGTAATCATAGCTGCTTGGAAGGTAGAGGCAGGAGGATCAAGATTTCAAGGCTGACCTGACGAACATTGTAAGGTCCAGTTAACCCCGCACCCCCTCCCCACAACAAAAACAACAAAAATTATTTTGCCTCTGGATTTGATGTCATATCTGAGAGCCTGTTGTCTATTCCTAAGGCACAAAAAATTTACTCATAAGTACATTACTTTTTCCAAGAATGCAACAGATATTAGATTATCATTATTGACTTCTGAATCTTATCTCTGTTAAGTCTATTTATCCGCATTTGGCTCTAGAAACAAAATCAGCTGCCTCTGGACAATCATGTGAGCTGGCATGCTATATCTATGTTTGGCTTAGCCTGAAGCATTTTCTGAATTCCTCTGTTAGCTTTATAGTTATTGGGATTTATTATTTCAGTGATATGAATGAACTCTAGGTTTCCCATGCATTAAAAACATCACTGTGTAGACCATTTATTTAGATACTCTTGAAATTTTTTTTTCTCTTTGATTTAAAGGAATTGGAGTTATACAAAGAAGAACTTAAGACAAAACCTGCACTTTTGGTAGTTAATAAAATGGATTTGCCAGATGCCCAAGTTAAACTTCATGAACTGATGAAGCAACTCCAGAATCCTGAAGGTAAATCACTCATTCATTTGAGTCCTGTCTAATGAGTATTTACTATGTGCAGAGAATGTTGGAGATTTTGGTGAGGGAGGGGTTAGTAATCCTTGCCTATGAAGCTAAAGATGACCTTGAATTTGCGATCCTCCTGCCTCCTAAGTGCTGGACTTATTAGCGTGCATAACTTTGATGATGGTTATAACCAATGAAAAAGAAAACAACAGTTTCTACTCTTAGAAACTCTGTATTTGAAGAAAGACCACATACTGTAGGAAGCATTCAGATAGCATAACAGTTATCAAGTTTCAAAGTATATGATATGGTTAAAGTAGAGGAAACAGAAGAAAAAGTAAAGAAAGGTTACTTTGGTCTGAAAAGGTCAAAAACTCTCTTGCCTGGTGGTTCATCCTTTAATCCGAGCACTTGGGAGGCAGGAACCGGTGGATCTTTGTGAGATCGAGGTCAGTCTAGTCTACATGGTGAGTTCCAGGCATGCTGGAGCTATAGAAAGACCCTGTCTCAAAAAAAGCAAAAAGAAAAAGAACTAAAGAAAAAGCAGAGAACCAAAACTTAAGTGGGCCCTTAAAGAGTGCAGGAAAGGGCAGGAAAGGGCAGGAAAGGGCTCAGTGGTTAAGAGTACGTGCTGCTCTTACAGAGTTTGGTTCCCAGCATCCACATCACATCAGGCAGCTCACAATCACCTATAACTCCAGCTCCAGGAGGATCCAGCTCCAGGAGGATCTAACACCTCTGGCCTCCAAGGGTACCTGAACTCACGTGCACATACCTACATAAAAACACACACACATACTCATAATTAAAAATAAAACAAATCTTTAAACAACCAAAAAAGGGTACAGGAGAAGTAGATAAAATGGAAAGGGCAGTCTCTACCTGTGAAGTCTGCTTCAGGTTTTATCTACTGTAGAATTTCATTCCCCTGGTACACTGTATGTTTAACAAAGATAGTAGTTTTAAAGAGGGTTTTTTTTTTTTTTAACAGACTAACTCCATAGATCTCTGAAGAGTGTTCATATTTAGAAAAGAATGTTTAGTTCTGTGTATGTGTAGCAGGAAATAAATCCTGACTCCAAATGGATTTCTCTGAAATTTTTAAAATGGAAATATATCCTCTGTATAAAAAAACTTAAAAGAGACTGTCCACAGTGTGGAAAAGTGACTGTTATCAAGTACTTCTATCCTACTGTGATGATGCTTTCACCTTTCTGAGTCTAGGAGAGGACCTCGTGCACAAATGAAGAGTGGGGTATATGGCAAGTGGCCATCTGTGTTTAAAGAGTACTAATTTCGTCTCCTTTTTTACTGCTGGGGTGATATTAGGGAAAATAGATTGTAATATACCAGAACTAGCAGACAGCACCAGAAAGTCCTTTCTCCCCTCTTGAAACCCATTCTTCTCTGTAATTTACAATGCTAGAACTATCCTTGAGTTAACATGCTAGAACTATCCTTGAGTTGGTAAGTTACTCTTCAGATAGAAACATTCCCTAATATTATTAGTCTTCACTCCTTAATACCACTTTATCAAGTCAGTAGTTCTCTTTGCTAGTTGGTCTTACAAGAGGCGCTAGCAGAAGTGAGGTTAACTCAAGAGCATGTAGGTGTTCTAGACCAGCCCAGTTCTTCAGTTAGCCTCTCTGGACTTTTCCGGAGGTTTGTAACTGAGAAACCAGCTTCCATGTTGGTTTGTCTAGTCTCTTTCATTTTAGCCATTGTAGGTTTTTGTTTGTTTGATTGTTTTGAGACAGGGTCTCCCAGTAGCACCAGCTGGCTCAGAACTCATTACATAGGCCAAGTTGACCTTGATTTCTGCCTGCCTCTGCCTCCTGAGTGCTGGGATTAAAGGTCTGTGCCACCATGCCCAGGCATTTTAGTTTGCGTCATTGACCTATCCAGTCAGTATGCTATTCCTCTTCCCACTGCCATGGTGTCAGGGAGAAGACAATGTAGTGTTTGTTAGCCCCCAAAGAATGATAGATTGGATGCAGATAAAATGGTCTGTCATTGAAGTATTGCTGCTTATGCTAGTTTAAATATGAGTCTATAGATAGTGATAAGCTTGTACCTTAGAGAAGTAAAATTTTTCTTTCAAAGTGTCTATTTTGCCTCATTTTATTGACTCCCCCAAAGCAAATTTTATTATTTATTTCATTGTCATGTTAATTTCCTATTTTTTTCCTTGTTTGGTTTAAAATTAATTTTTCCAACAGTTCTTTTCTAAGTTCTTATCATGTGTGAAGAACTTTACATAGTAAAATGCAAGGAATTTATGAGACAGAAGAAGACAGGAAAGTATTTTAAAAATGGAAGTTTTCGGTTCCCTTCATGAATAAACCTCTAATGTTGTTTTGATTTACTTTAAAAGGTGATGAAATCACTTTAACTATGTTCTTCGTTTCAGATTTTCTACATTTATTTGAAAAACACTTGATTCCAGAGAAGGCTATAGAATTCCAACATATCATCCCCATTTCTGCAGTTACGGGAGAAGGAATTGAAGAATTAAAGAACTGTATAAGAAAATCACTGGATGAACATGACGACCAAGAAAAGGATGCATATCATAAGGAACAGCTGCTTAATTTGCAGAGTTCTAGTTCAGGTTCTTGCAGAGTATCACCATCAAAGCATGCTATTACTACTTCCAGAAAAGATGTGATTCAGATCCAGTAAAAACCATATTGATGGAATACTATTTAGTCCTAACAAAGAAGGAAATCATGTTATTTTTGAAAATACAAGTGAGCCCAGAATACATTGTGTTCAGGGAAATAAGCCAAGCACAGAAAGACAAATACCACATAATCTTACTTATTTGTGGACTATAAAAAATTGAACTGATACAAGTCCAGAAAAATAGTGATTACTAAGGATAGGAGATGGGGATTGGAGAGGTACTGACCAAAAAATAAAAAGTTCAGTTACTGTGAATAAGCTTTGCAGATCTGTTATGATCTATATGATATCTATAGTTATTACAATATAGCATATTTTAAAATTTTGTAAGGCTATAGGTTTTAGGTTTTAAGTATTGGCTCCACAAAAAAGATCTGAGAAAATATGTATTTTAAATTAGCTTAATTGTGTATTTTAAAACATACTGGATATGATAAATAGACTAGGATAATTTTTGAAATTGTATTAATTTGAAAACTTCCCACATATTTTTTAGCACTATTAGTAGGCTTCCTAACATGCGTCATCATTCAGGAAGATAAAATTTCTTAATTCCTATTGATGCTTAAAAAATACAAGTAAATTTTTTCCTTTATGTGAATTTTCGTATAAAATTTACATATTTAGGTGTTTAAGGTAAAACCATTTCTGTCTTTCTAATGAGGCTTCTCAGTCCTTCCCAGAGAAAACTACTGCTAATGGCTTATATTTGTACCCAAGTGAGTTCATTATGAATGAGTTCATTATAACTTCTCCATCTTTTTTTCTTTTTCAAAGTAGAGGCAAGTTAATGAGCTTGAAAAAATTCTTCAGCCAGGCATGGTGACACAGGCCTGTGATCACAGCACTTGGGAAGGAGAAATAGGACTTTGACTCCAAGGTCATCTTGGGTAACATAGCAAATTCTAGGTCAGCCTCGACTACACAGTGAGACTTCATAGTCTAAATTTCTTTTTCTTTAATAATCCTTTTTAATTGTTAAAAATTATTTGGTGGGGCTGGAGAGATGGCTCAGCAGTTAAGAGCACTGACTGCTCTTGCAGAGGATCCCACTTTGATTCCCAGCACCCACATCATGGCTACGAACCATCCGTAACTCCAGTTCCAGGGGAATCTGAAGCCCTCTTCTGCTCTCCGAGGCATTGCATGACACAGGTGCACTCACAAACATGCAGGCAATATGCTCGTACACATAAAATAAAAATAATAAAATGTATTTTTTAATTATTTGGTCATTTAGTGCTTAGTAGCAATTGTGGCAATTCATCCCTTTGAAAAGTAGTTTTTAAAATTGTGTGTTGATTGGGTTTAAGTTTCTTCTTGATAGTTTTTATATTTTTTTCATTTTGATTCTGTTTCTGTTCCCTGCTCCCACCTTCACTGGTTTTCCTTGTGTCTCTTTCTTCTTCATTGCACAGGTATTTATTGAGGGTATGCAAACATGGCAAGCACTACTGTACAGGGTGCTCCAGGTACAGTGCTGAAAAGAACCGAAAGAACGCCTATCCAGCTCAAATTGCAGGGCAGAACTGCAGGGAGGTGGAGTGGCCCACTTCGTACAAAGAAGTGAGAGTGGGGAAAGCAGTGAACCGGCCTCATGCTGGGCACATCACACATTTATAACTTCAGTGTCTGCTTTTTCAGACATTTCCTAAATATAAACACATGGCCATTTGAGGACAGTTTCATGAGGCGAATTTAAGGGCTGGGATGAAAGGTATGCAGCACCATACCCTGCCCAGATTAATTTTCTTTTAAATATTTTATTTATTATTTTTATGTGTATGCACCCGTGTCGTGCAATGCCCGCAGAGGTCAGAAGAGGCTGTTGGAAACCCTGGAACTGGAGTTACAGACAGTTGTTAGCTGCCATGTGGTTGCTGGGATTCGAACCCGGGTCTTCTGCAAGGACAGCCAGTGTTCTTAACCACTGAGCCATCTCTTCAGCCCCCCTAGATTCATTTTTTAAAAGAGATTTCTTTCTTGCTTTCTGTGATCGTGTGTACACATGTATAGCAGTGAGTCCAGAAGAGGGTGTTGTTGGATGGGGTCCCTCTGAGCTGGAGTTACAGGCATTTGCAGGATGCCAGGCTTGTATGTGTGTGTTGGATCCAAACTTTGATCCTCATGATTGTGTAGCAAGCTCTCTTAAACCCTGAGCTGTCTCTCAGCCCCCCAGGTTCATTTTTTATAATAAAATAAAATATTACAGCTGCATGTGCAAGACCTTGCTTGGGTTTGGCTCCCAGCATTGTGGTTAATTGGTTTTTTTAAAGATCTACTTTGATGTAAGCATTTTTTAACCTTTTCTGAAATATATTTTGTCTTTGTGCAAGGCTTTTCATTTTTTATCATTCAAAATACATTTCAAAATACTATACTACTAGGGCTGGAGAGATGGCTCAGTGGTTAAGAGCAGTGACTGCTCTTGCAGAGGACCTGAGTTTGATTCCCAGCACCCACATGGCAGCTACAAACCGTCCTTAACTACAGTTCCAGGGGAATCTCACGCCCTCTTCTGACCTACGTGGCACTGTATGACACGGGTGCATTCACATATATGCTGACAATACACTTATACACATAAAACAAAAATAATAAAATATTTTAAAAATAATAAATAAAATACTTTAAAAAAATACTACTTAGTAATTATATTAGGGCATGACCAGACTACCAGTATGCTGTGTACAGCAAATTTTCATAAAAGTCAATAGTCTTTGCAGAACTTACCATATTTCCTATCATGAAATACAAGTTTATACTGATAGACAATATACTACACTCTGAAGTTGAATCCTATGCTCAGGAAATTTTATATATGTATCAAAAAATTGTAGAATACCTGTTATGTTCTGCTTTTTGCCTTACAATTATGTGTTGCTTACCAACAGTGTCTAGTCTGAGAAATATATCCTTAGGTGGTTTCATAGTTTCAAACATCATAGCATGTATTTGTACAAGCTAAGACAGCTACAATGTCACTAGCCCATATAATACTTTGGGGGCTACCATTGTTTGTGTGATCCATTCTTGATCAAAACATATTAATTACTGTATAGCGTCTCATTTATCATAGCAGGTTGAAATTTTTTCTTTTATAGCCCAGAGAAACATCTACTTTAAAAAATTTGATCAATTTATTTATTTATTATTGTGCGGAGGGCTTGTATGTCACAGCATGCATGTGGAGGTCAGAGGACAATTTTGTAGAGTTGATTTTCTTTTTCCACCTTTAGGTGGGTTCCAAGGACCAAGCTCAGGTGTCCATGCTGGCACAAGTGCTTTTACTCAACTGAGTCATCTTGATGACCCAACTCTGCTTTTATAATGGAACAAATTAGGTCAAGGTATTTTATTTCAGGTTTTGTCCAGTTTTCCAGTGAAGTCATGCTTCCTTTGAACTTAGGTGTTCTACAAAGATAGAAGTTAGATTCTTTTGAGGTAGTTAATGAAAGCTATAGATCTTTTCTTATTTAAAAAAAAGTACATAAATATAAAATATTTTCTAATTTGTTGTGCTGGCCATTGATGTGGTTATTTGGTCTTGAAGCTGGTGTTGGACCATCGATTGATGTTTTCCCTTAGCACCTTCATAGTGCTCTCCAGAGCTATGAGAGCTAGGCTTCTGAGAAGGTATTTTCAGGTCAGTTCCAGCTCTATTTCTCCAAATCCTGTGTCTGAAGTATATTCTATCTTCACCAGTGGGGTCTTACCTTCAAGTTCTGGGAGGCCATCAAGGGCTGTGGCAATAGCCTGTGTAATTTTGGGAGTCTCTGGGGCCACCCTGGCCAACAACTCATGGAAACTTTCTCTTATCTGGCACTGTTTCTTGTTATGTAGCCTTTAGCTATACACATGGGACTCATGTAGACATAGTGTATGTGTAATTTATCATTGGGTTATTGGACTAATATGATTCCCTCTGGTTTTTTTTAAAAACTAGCTAGGCTTTATTTATCTCTCCTCTCTCTCCCTGTCTAACCCTTCCACCATGGTTTCCCCATTTAAAATGTCCCCATTTTCCCCTTGATAATACCAGTCTCCTATGGTCCCACCTGTTAGATTTATTAGAGCAGAAAAAGGAAGGAATTTAAAGTTTAGAAATAAGAGTCAGAGCCAGACCTGCAACAGGCAAGGAATGTGTTCCCTGGATTCACGGAATCCAGCAAAGGCTGATAAGCTCTTCCATGCAGAATGAATATCTGTAAACAAAAGGGGGAGAGTCTGGTCTTATATAGGAACTTTGCTGCACACAGCTACAAGATTTAACTTGATGTCAGGGTCTGGTATCCTTGAGGGTCTCTTCCAAGATTATTTTCTCAGGCAGGCAGGCAGGCAGGCAAGTTATCTATAGCACCAAAGGAGACTGATGGGGTCCATAAACAGTCTCTCTCAGTTCAGGGAGTGACCAGTTGATAAGGCTTGAGCAAGGCCAGGCTGCCAATATAGGGCTAGTTAGTCACTGTAAGGGATTTATACCTTTCCCTAATGAGATTTGTGGCTCTTCTGCAATTTACACATTCTATCAACGCCTCTCTTGAGCTTCTTTTCCTTTATCCCCAAGGTTCCTTGTATAACCCTCCTTCTCCCCATTTAAATAACCCCATTTTTATCCATTTCTCCATTAGTAACACCAGCCTCCTACTGTTCTTCTCTCTCAGGTTCTCTCTTTCCCTTTATCTTCTTGGTTCCTTTTCATTATTCTGGATCCTGCAGTTAGATCTGGATACATACTTACATATAAGGATTTAGTGCTAGGATCCCCATATGAGGGAGAACATACATCGTTTGTTTTTCTGAGTCTGTTACTTCACTAAATACAACAGTTTCTAGTTCCATCCATTTACCTGCAAATTTCATGATTTCTTCTTTCTTTACCACACAATGGCCAGCACAGCACACAACATTGATGCAGTAGTGGCACTTTTATTTTGGGGGCAATCAACTGCTACCTAAATGGATGAAAAGCCCACTCAAGTGTGGTACTGTAAACATAACCAAACACACATAGCTGGAGAGGTCATAGATCTGAGAGAAAACCCCAAGACTGTCACATCCCTAGACTAATTTCTTGCTATGTGCAAAATAGGTATCCTTATATTTATGGACAACTATCCCAGTCACCACTCATCAAAGAAGCTTATTTTGCACCAGTCAGAGACTATTACCAAGTACCACTACTGGTCACACACAGACATTGTCTATGAATTACCCAGGCCTAAGTGACATATCTATTATGTAACCTCTACACCTAAGGCACGTGGAACATAGAAGGGGGTAATGAAGATGACACTAATGAATCAGTTCTCATTAATGAAGATCCCTCATGCAACAGAGGGACAGGAACACAAAATGTCATAAATGGCCAAAAGAGATTAAGAGTCTGCAGATTGCTGGTCCTTGGACAGGACTCCTATATTAAACTTCACCTGCCCAGGGCTCAGTGGCCATCTTGGAAAGAG